AGCAGGAAACAGTTTTGAATTGACAAAGGAAAGGGCCACATAACTTAATTAGTTTTGACTGCTCCAATTTCTCAGCTAAATTATTTTTTGTGTAAGAGTCACATAACTTTTCTTAAGACTCCTCAGTGCATGAATCAAATACATATATTTCATGCTTCCTAATTTTTAGAACTAAGTAGGAAACTGGTTCCTTTTAAACACAGCTATTCATTGTAACCGGATTCATGGTCACTATGGTTACTAACAAGCAAATCATTTTGTTCCCAATACTCTTTATGTAATAAAGCCTAAGTTAAGAAATGGGTTCCCTCCTGCTACTCCAGTGAAGTCAGCAATATTATCACCATGCTCTCTATGACTGAAAGAACAGTTTACTTCCTTACCTTAGCTTTATTTTATACAGTACCATGGTATGGTATAGGTGCAGACTATGTAAAACCTGCTAATGTAGGAGTGGACAAGATTTTGCTACCATGGGCTGCTGCTTGCAACCCTGCTCCCTGCTGTGGGATGTAAATCTCCTCTCCTATCCTTTGGTAATCAATAGATGCTGCAGGGAGAGTATGGATCAAGGTAGGCAGTAGGAACTTGGGGACACCTCCTCTACTGTCCTGGCTGCAACACTGTGCTGATTCCCCAAGTTGCCAGAGGCTGGATCCAGTCCACAAGTCATACAATACCAACCCCTTCCTAACATGATAAGGAAGAGCTTCAGCAATCCAACCATAACATTACCTTCATGCAGGGCATGCCAAATCAGGAAACTGTAAGCATCAATTTCTATAGCCACATCTCGTCTACAAGCTAAAAATGTCTTACAACAGCAATGTCTTGCAACAGCACCCTCACACATGCCACTGCTTCACACTGGGTAATGGCATTTACATGGACATGAGGGTGAGCTGGGGGGCAGGGTAGGGGGAAGGCTCACCTCCTTAGCACTGCTATAGGACAGTACCAATTAGCCCACTCACAGCATCATATGGAGATGGCTACACTGCTTCTGGTCCAGAAGGCAGGCCACACAACAGTACAATGTGTTTGCGGAGCACAGTAAGTGTTATTGTTAGATGTTGGTAGATGTTAATTTTGTAGTTCTACAAAGTTTGAGAATGAGGTTTTTCTAGGAAGACTGCTTCCACATACCCTTTGCACTAATAAGAAAAAGGTAGGAATAAAACCTTGATTAGGAAAGCTTTCCAAGACCAGCCATGATGAAGTCTGCAGACAGAGAAAAGATACCTGCATTACTCAAGAATATGGAGAATCAAATCATCCAGGCTGAGAAATTCCTAAACATACACTATAAATCCCAACATAAGCAGCAGCAAGAAGAGGTCAGCCCAAGCCTCAAAAAAGACATCCACCAATCATCTGTCAAAGATGAAGTTTCTTCAAATATGTAGGGGAGCACATTCTTATTGAGGAACAGGTAAATCACTCAAGATGAGCAACCTATGGAAGGCCCATTCTCCCAAGGGTTTGGCTCAAGGGTCACCCATGCATTCCAGCCCAACTATGCACTCCAGGTGGTGAAAGCCATCCTATAATTCCCATGATATCTTCTTATCTCAAGCAAGTCCTGGTGGAGGATGACCACTACCCACTTCTAACCTCTGTCACTGGGTCCTGTCCCACTAGCACCTCACACAGCCTCCTATTCAGTATCTAGGCAGTTGGCTTCCTGTAAACACACATATTAACACTTTCCATGTCCTTACTCTTGTATCCTACCCCAACACCAAGCATTAGCACTTCCTGCCACTTGTGGACAATATCAATGCAATCGCGCACTCCCGATCCATGATCGTCATGGGGGACTTCAACTTCCCTTACATCTCTTGGGATGAGCGCATGACCAAATTTGACAGGTCACATAGCTTCATCACATGCATTCATGACCTCTACCTAACCCAGGAGGTCTATGGGCCAACTAGGGGAGAGGCACTGCTTGATCTGGTCCTGGCCAATGGGGAGGACCTAGTGAGTGATCTGCGGATTGAGGGGAAGCTTGGTGACAGTGACCGTGAATTGGTCACTTTCTTAGTTCACTGAAGAGCAGGCAAACGCAGCAGTAAAGCTGAAGTCCTGAACTTTGGGAAGGCTGACTTCTGCAAACTGAGAGAATTGGTCAGTCAGGCAATTAGAGGCCATTCCCTCCCCAGAAAAGGGAGTACACGAGGATTGGTCATTTCTTAAAAACCTAATCCTTGAAGCACAGGGCAAAACCATACCATCTCACAAGAAATGCAGTCAACAGGCAAGAAAGCCCCCATGGCTGAATAAGGAACTCTTGGACCTTATTAAGAATTACTGAGAGAATTATCCTGGCACATGTCCACAAGGGGCTAGCAGGGGAGATTATGCTTAGGGGCAACCAATATGGTTCATTAGAGGCAGGTTGTCAGACCAACCTGGTGACCTTCTATGACCAGGACACAAGATCCTTGGTGTCGCAGTGGACGTAGTCTTTCTGGACTTTAGGAAGGCCTTCGACACTGTCTCTCACCCCATTCTCATTAAAAAAAACTTGGAGACTGCGGTGTCGATACCTACACAGTCAGATGGGTCACTAATTGGCTGGAGGGCCGCACCCAGAGAGTGGTGGTGGACAGGCCTCATTCGACGTGGAGGGATGTGGGCAGTGGGGTCCCCCAGGGCTCAGTCCTCGGGCCTGACCTGTTCAACATCTTCATCAGCTACTTGGACGAGGGGATAAAAAGCACCCTGTTCAAATCTGCAGATGACAGTAAGATGTGGGGAGAAGTGGGCATGCTAGAAGGGAGAAATAGGCTGCAATCGGACACGGACAGGTTACAGGGGTGGACGGATGAGAACAGGATGGGTTTCAACAGGATGGGTTTCAGCACTGACAAGTGCAAGGTGCTGCACCTGGGGAGGAAGACCCAGCAGCACACCTACAGGCTGGGGAACTCCCTTCTCATCAGTCAGAGGCAGAAAAGGATCTTGGAGTCATTATTGATGCCAAAATGAACATGGGCCGACAGTGTGGAGATGTGGTCGGGAAGGCCAACCATACCCTGTCATACATCCACAGATGCATCTCAAGCAGGTCCAAGGAGGTGATCCTCCCCCTCTATGCAACACTGGTCAGGCTGCAGCTGGAGTATTGCATCCAGTTCTGGGCGCTGCACTTCAGGAGGGTTGTGGACAGCATGGAGAGGGTC